TTGCATCGCCACCCCCCTTCTCACTTGTTGCTTTCACAGTTGCATTTTTCTCACTATCATTTTCTTTTTCAGCCTCACTGTTTGCGACAGATGGATTTAACTTGGCACTAGAGGCAGAGGGCCCCATGTTCAGGTTTATGGCCAAGTTGAACGTTCTCGATGTTTTTTTATCAACTTTCCTCCGTTTTACAGCTGCATCGGCTGTTTCCGGCACTGTTGAGTCTTTGGTGCTTGCATCATCTTCTTTCAGTGTTTCCTGGTCCTCTTCTGCTTTTAAGGGTGGAACTGAGGAGGAGATTTCTGCATCAATTGCACATTCTCCCAGATTGCGGGAAATGTTTTCGATATCAGTAGGGCTTTTCAATGGCCCACTCTTTTTAGCATCTGCCGTATTTGCATCCAGTTTTCTCTTCTTGCTCTCCTTTGTGCAATCATTTTCTGCCGTATCCTGCACTTCTTCAGTCTCACTGTGTAAATCCTTCTCCTCCTGCTGGGTAAATGAAGCCTCTTTCTCCTCTTCACCATCTCCTCCCTTCGAAACACACTTGCTTAGCTTCTCTTTTACATCTTCATCGTTCGCTTTAGGCTGCAAGTCTGCAGCATCTCCAGCTTTCTGTTCTTCCTCTAGAGACTGTTTCTGATCCTTTTCCACGGAATCATCACATTTTTTACCAGGAGTTTCCTGTTTATCTTCAGTCTTTTGGGGCAACTGTGATTTGGTAGAGCGCGCTTTGTACTTCAAGAGTTTGTCGTGCGGTCCCCATACAAAGCTGCCTCGAGGTTTGAAGTGTTGCCAAGCATAGTAGACTAGTTCTCTTCTCTTCTGTTTGCTTCTGATGGTGAACAGGAAGTAATCCAAGGCACTTCTCTTAACATTTGGTAACGTCTCCTTAACAAGAGTTTCTGTTAGGAAAAACTTTACCAAGTGCATTTGATAGTGTTCATATCCCATCTCCCCCAGGCACTTCAGGATGCGTGTAATCCGCAAATTGTTGTGGCTAAACCTGAAATAAACAGGTAAGCAAAGTTGTTAAGTGAGTCTTACAAGCTTGAAGTCCCAACAAACTCCCAAGGTACCCACAAAACCTTTTGTGCCTTATTGACTGTGGTCTATTAAAGACTATTTGACAATGCAGATGAGAGTATAGACAGGCTTACTTTTAAAGCACCTACTGCTGCTGTCTGCCTTCAGCAGTATCTTCCTAAGCCCTTCTTGGACTGCTTGCATTAATCATCTCAACTGCTGGGAAGTGCTCTGGCTTTCTGCATCACCCACCGGTAGATAACAGCCACAATATTGGGTCAGATACACAAGTCCATGCAGCCCAATATCCTGTCCCTGACAGTGCCCATGTAAGAACACAGGTGTGTAAGGGTGCTGCCAGAAATCCATGACTTAGGGACTTAAGCTAGACACAGCTTTTTTTTTTTTTTCCCACTTGACAGTCTTTAAGCTGTTTTTTCTTTTGTGCCCAGTCCTTTTAGAGCCTTTGTTAGTATCATTAGGGGTACTAGAACACGATGGGTCATTACTATCTCTGTGATAAGGCCTGCAATAATATAAAAAAATTAACATCAATTTGCAGAGCACTTTTCAACCAAGGATTCAATAGACAACCAGGGAAGCATATGGAAACACTCCTATTTTGTAGTTTAACAGATTACTACAAAGGCAATTTGGCTACTTGTGAAAATGCTTCAGTGATTCTTGCTTAAAACATGGTTTTAAACACAAGCTCTGCTAGAGGAAATATTAACATCTCCAAGTCAGTATTTCATAATTTAGGAGACCAACATGAAGAGCACCTGCTGTTAACAGCTGCACCGGATACCAAAGAAAACCAGTCTCAGCTGGTTTACTTATTATACTTGTCACTTATTAAAGTGGCAGAGTGTGATGACCTACAGTCAGAAGCTGAGCCAAGTTACAAATCCTTTAGCCAGCTAACATTTTTTATCAACAAAAGCCTCCTTTCCTTAAGAGCTGAGGATTTTCTTGACTTGGACTTTTTTTTTTATTTTTTCTTCTCAAAGAAGTGCCTGGCTGTCGTAAATGAGCAGCAGCATAAACAGAGACTCACCGGTTCAAGTTTTGAAATCGTTCAGCCCAATTCTCTGCTCTCTCAAGTTCTCCAGTTTTCTCGTTGATCAGAGTGATTCCATAAAATCTCAGCATGAGCCGATAAGCACGTACAAACCTTTGCATAACTTCCTTGGACTTCTTAAAAGCCTGAAAACAAGACAGACCAATGAGTACAAGGTGCAACTCCCTAACTATCTGCACCAGTTTAAGCAGCACCTGAATTATAAGCAAGGCTTGATTATAACACTAAGCCTTTCATTTGCTGGGGCAGATACTGGCAGGCACAAGACAGTGCTTGAGTGAGCTCTGTTCACACTAGGGCCCCAAGGAAGCAACGTGAAAAAACCCCTAGGCTTGAAAGATAAGACATTTAGGGAAAATCTTAACATTCTTTAGATCTCAAAAAAAAAAAAAAAAAAAAAAAAAAGACAGACAAAAGCTTTGAATACCTGGATTTCTTGAGATGTGAGTGGTTTGGCACGCCAGTTCATCCCATGCTCACGTAAAGGGAACAGCCTGAAGGGAAAGAAATTTTCAGCCCAGATGACATCCAAGCCAGGGTACTGTCCTGGTTTTGACTGGGAGAGTTAGTTTCTCTTTTTAGCAGCTGTAAGAGCTCTATGTTTTGGTTTTAGTCTTGGATTTATTATGAAAAGAATGTTGGTAGCACCCTGATGTTTACAGTTGGTGCTGAGACCTCAAGGGCTTCTCAGTTTCCCATCTTTTTGCCAGTGTGCAGGAGCACAACAGGTTGGGAGGAAGCACAGCTGGGACAAAGGGCCCACAACTCCCCTTAGGATTTGAATTTAGAGTTAGGAGTGAGGGCTAAACTGGCCAATGGAGTATTCCATATAATGCAAGGTCATGCCTGGCAGATAGCTGAGGGTTGACCAGAAAGAAGGGCTTTGGCTTTTCCGAGAACTCTGTTCTAAGGGCTCACTCTCAGAGTGCTATATCTTGTTCTCTTTTTGAGCCTCTCGCTCATCTGGGATTGCAGTGTGAAGACTTATCTCTCTTGGAATCATTTACAGGGATGGGACAGGTGTTGGTCACCGGGTCGTGAGCAATTATACTGTGCATCACTTGTTTGTAGATATTATCATTACATGTATGTATATATTCATACTTTATCATTATTACTTTTAACTTTATATTATTATTAAATTGTTCTTATCTCAACCCAGGGGCCTCCTTCTCTTTTCCCCTTTAATTCTCTTCCCCATTCCCCGGGGGTGGGGAAGGGTGAGTGAGCAGCTGTGTGGCATTTAGTTGCCAGTTGGGTTAAACCACAACACGTACCCATTTTGTTAAAACTAAAAAGATCAACAATTGTGATATCACAAGTGTCTCGTGGAGAGCTCACATCCTCACAGACAGAGAAGTAGTTTACTATATGACAAATAAATCCCTTCCATAAAAGCATTGTCTGCACCAGCGATAACACAACTTTGGTTATTTGGATCTCTCTTGTTGCCCTAATACTTTGTTCTGCAATATGATCTGTAAGATCAAGCATGACTGAGATCTATTACCACAGCTGCACTGGAAACCCGTGTCTTCAGAACTTCCACTACACTGTTTTCAGAAAAATATAACTCAATAGAAATAAAGTGAACACAGGTTTCACCCAAAAGTAATACTGGGTCTTTTGGGAAGCTGAATTCAGGAACGCAGATACGACTGACTCTTAAAAGAGGCACAACATTCATGCAGGCAGTTTACCACTGTATGTAAGAATGGTTTTCTTCCAGAACTTCATAGTTGTCCCACCAAGATTCAAGCAGAGTTTCAATATGCAAACCTGGGAAAAAAAAAAAAAAAAGAAAAAAAGACAAAGTCAAGCAAGAAGCGACATCAAACAAAAATCAAAGCTGGCCAGTTACCCAAGGTGGCTTATTATCCAGAGCCAGGTGTTTGCATACAGGCATTAGCTTCTTTAACTAGACAACCATCCCAGTAAGCCAGAAAAAAAAATTCTTAGTTTTCTAACACCAAACAGAAAACTAAGAAACACACAGCAGAAACAAGGACATTTTAAAACGTAAGTTCTTGGTGGTTTTTTGCAGCTTTTTTTTTGTTGATTTGGTGGTGAGGTTTGTTTGTGGAGTTTTTTTTGTTTGGTTTTTGTTTTGTTTTGGTTTGGTTGTTTGTTTTAATAATTGTCCCACATGGATCAAGCTACTCTTTCACCAATTCAACCAGCTGCAGCAGAGTTGCATCAAACAGTCATCACACAAGGTACTCACCATGAGGTACAAAAGAAATCTCATTTTTATAAAAGCTCAAGTTCCACATTTCCTCTTCCTCCTCATTTTCTGATTGTATCAAACCCTGGAGATGAGAACAAGAAATCAACAATCTTTTAAAAGGCAGTATTCACTTCAACACTTCTCCTTGCTTTCCCTCATGTTTCCTAAACATTTTGAGCTAAATCCTTGAAATATGTTTTGGGAAGTAACAGCTTGTTTCTGAAGCACCCACGCACACATCATCCCTTCCCCCTCACTAATGAGTCCTTTAAAGGTTCTGAGCCTGCCAACCAACAGACAAAAGGTGCCCTCAAATCTAGAAAGTGCTCCTAAACACAGGGTGCAATGAGGAAGAGTCACAAGAGTCTGTGCATCATCATTTAGTGCGTACCGGGTAACCATGTCTGTATCTCTGCAAGTCTCTTGCTGCGTTCCAGTTGCGCCTGCCTAAGAACTAGAGAAAGGAGAGAGATCAGAGACCCAGAATAAAGTTGTCTTCTGAAAAAAAAAAAAAATCCCACTGACTGAATTCAGCATCTCTCACGTGTTCCCCTGCCTATCACTCTCCTGTGTCCTCCACTCTGCACTCCCAGCACCTCCAAAACCAGCCAGTTTCCTACTGCAGTTGTTTCTCTGCATTCCTGAGACAATTTTGGACTAAGAGAAGTTCACATCATCTCCTTTAACCAAAACATTTCTTTTTCATTCTAGTCTTACCTAAGCAAGGTCTTGAAGTTTTATGCTTATCTTTTATCCCAGTTGGGTTTTTCTACAGAGATTGAAACTACTGAAATTTCCCTAACAATGGTCAGAAATAGCTGGAAATCTCAAATAGCAAAATGTCATTTTCTTCCTTAACTCAAAAGATTTTAAAACAAAACAAACTAAGCCCTGTCTGTCCATCTCTCTGAGTCACTATACCCTAGTGAAGACAGACATCAGACTTCAAAATTGTAGGATTCAAGATGCAGATATATCCCTTAAACTCAGAATTCTCATTCTCTGTAGACATTCTTGAAATAAAGTTTTCTCCATATTTGCTTTATGCTCCAGAGCAGCCTTGCTGATCTAGATAGAGGACAATACTAGAGCTACATAGTTACATTAGATACTTATTTTACCGGACTTCCATTCCAATCATCATCATCATTATTGCTCATCTCTCCAAGTAACCAAACTTTATGTCAAGCCTACCTGAAAACCCCTCGGAGACAACGGTGATGAATTTGATCTTTGCTCCTATAAATAAAAGGCATTCAGTTGAAACATTTTGAAACCAAACTTCACTAATAAAATAAAAAAAGATACACGAAGTGAGCATACCCACAGCAGTGATTCACACAATCCCTATTAGTTGCCAAGTGACAGATTTACCTAGTTACAGCTGAATTCACTTCATTTTGTTCCTAATTCAAATCACTATAGAGAAAAAACCTGTGGTGCCACATCCACCTGACAATTAGGTGTCAGGTTCTCCTCGCTACACAGATGTGCTAGATTCATTCCAAATGCAGCATTTAGACAAGAAATCACCACCAACAGCTTAAATTTCTTCCTCTGAACTTCATGGAAATAAAAGTTGCAAGTATGACTTCATTTAAAATACACTTAAACTGAACTATTACTTTTTTTTTTCCAGTGGATTACTTCAATGCTAAGAGATTTTTGTTACACTGCACAAGAAACACAGACAGATTGCATCTTGCTGAATGCTGAACCATCTTGTCCCAAACCATGCAAGCACTTAAAAGCATTCTGTCAAGGCAGAGCCACCAAAAAGAACAAGGCTGCTCCTGAATAAAAGGAGCCATCCGGCGCGAAGCACCGCGCAGTTGGAGCATCCAACACCAGCTCACAGCATCTGTGTGAAACAGGGGTAAGACGTGCACACTCTTGCAAAATAAGCATTTTAAGAAACTTAGAAGAAAGAAGCAGCAAATGCTCTCCCGAGTTATTTTGTTAACTTCATTTGATACTACTAAACCTCGTTGGCACGGCGAAAAATAAAAAGCTGCATTTGATACTACTAAACCTCGTTGGCACGGCGAAAAATAAAAAGCAAAACCACATCACGGGTTCAATAATTCTTAAAGCAGGAACTGGATTAGATTTTGTAACACTTTGTTACAACAGTGTCATCCATTCAGCTGTCCTGTTGATTGTTAGCACTTAAATTTTATGAAGCTTGCACAGTGTTCGGGAGATCAAACTTTCATCCATAGAGGGAGGTCATCAATGCAGAATTGTTAAAATTACTTTTAAAAATACATTTACACACTACGATTCCCCTGTACTTTGGTGACAGGAATTAAATAAAGCTCAAGTTGTTTTTTAAATGTAGTGACTTGTGATGACCTAAAATAATGCCTGTCTACATTGTAACATTGTAGGCTACATTGTAACATATTTTCATTTTATACGTGTCCACATAGACCAAAATAAGTGGCAGAACTTCCCACAGCCCCATGGCCCATTCAGGATTAGAAATCCAAGCGTTGGTGTCCATCCCCAGAATCTACCCAGACTGCAGAAACACAACTATAAAAAGCTTTGCTACACAGCCAACATTTGGAAAAAAAAGTAAGTGGCTGCAAACACCAGGCTAAGAAATATGTTCAGCCAGAAGAGATCAATATTATTCTTTTGTTCAAGGTGTAAGCAGAGACTGGGATTTAACACTTAAAAAGTCATCGATGCTTTCAACTTTCGAACTCCAAGGATGAAATTCTGGTACATTCAGAATTAACAAACATTTTGTTCCCGGGTATAGAAGGATCAATTTCCAGATATGCTTTACACTTAAAGTTCTAAAATAACATCCTTTAACAGAGTCAGGTGGGACAGGCTAACAGTAGACTGGCTCCAATTTTGAAAAAGAACTGGTTTGCTGAAGAGTTCGTGTAGATAGGTGCAATGCCATGGTGCAAGTGCTGGAAGGCTTGTCTGGAAAGATGCTAAATCCAGGAGAAAAGCATTTTGGAGCACAGCATTAAAGAGAACAAGATGGGGAAACAAAGAGAGCAACCCTCTCCAAGCAGGTGGTGTACCCAGATCTCTAGAAACTCCTGTTTAAGCCACACACAAAAATAACCTTTCCTTTCTTTCCAGGCTGGAAAGACAAACTAAACTGCAAGACTCAAACTTGCACGTATAAATCAAAGCCCCTTACTTCTCACAACACAACCCAAGCAGGTTTCTCCCTCCAAACCTGCAACGCATCAGTCGGAACGTGCATCGTTGCGCAAAGAGCGTGAGGAAAGCAGAGCACAAAGCCAGCAGAGGGTAAGAGCAACCGATACCTGGCTGGAAACTGGAAACCAGCTGCAACAGAAAGGGACTAAAGAACGTGCGGATTGGGACCATGACACAGGAACGAGAAAGACGACAGAATCCTAGAAGAGGGAACGAAATCTTCTGCTGATGGAGAGGCAGAGCTATAGTGCTCGTTATTAAACCACAGCTCCGAGCAGTACAACACAAACCCGAGGCGCTGCAGCAGCCGAAGAGGTAAGTGTTTCAAAATGAGCCCAAACCCCAAGATTTGCAATGCTTGCTCCTACAAGCTAAAAGCACCAAGATGCAAAAGAGCTGAAAAGACACACCTGCAGGAATTTCAGACCAGGAATGTGGAGTATTTGCAGAGACACAAGTGAGGTGCAAGGATAAAAGTAGAATTTTAGGTTGGTTTTGAAAGTGCGTAGTGAAAATAATAATAATAAAAAAACTCTAACCTCAGTATTGGATAAAGACATTAGCAGCTTCAGGTAAAAAGTATAACATCTAGACTGAGGGGAGAAGAATAAAAATTAGTGTAATATAAGCAGAAGTAGGAACCAGTTTTGGAAACTGATTCATGCCTTTTGCAGGTTGTAAAGGCATAAATGGATAGCAGATGATTTATTGTTTCTTTTTTGTATTTATGCCCCCTGTCCTTAAAAATTTTTCAAGCCCTGTCAGACAGAGGTGACTACAGATTTGTCTCTGAAGGAAGAACTCCTCTTTAAAGATGCAGAGCAATATTCCAGGGACTGTAAGTCTCAGGGACGGCATCCTCCCTTGTAAGGCGAGTTTGAAAAGTCCACTCACTGGAGGGAAAAAATGGTCCTTGCTTTTACAGTTGTCACAATCCAGAAGTTGCTCTAAGAAAAAAAAAATATCTGAAGAACAAACACATTCAAAAAGAATAATCTGAACGTTCTAGAGGCATTAAAACTTGTGAACGAAACCAGAACTCTAGCCATGTACAAAAGAAAATTGACAGCACGCCCTCAAACAAGGCAAAATACTTCAAAGGACATCTCTGCCTTGATGTGTTACAGCTATTCCACCCAAAATACCTGCCACTTCTCACAGATCTATATGCAGAGACTCCAGTCCCTGCAGTAAACTCCATGAAGATGCCGAGACCTGCACGGGCATGTCCACCTGCTGTATTTCAACTTTCTGTTTGCAAAGTACAAAGTGTCCATTTTTTTGGGGACGACCTGAGTATTTGGAATACTATGTTGCACAGAATTTATTTACTTTTTTTTTTTAAAGGGAGGTTATTTTTAATATCTTAATGCTTATAAAAAATTCAAAGTTTAATATTAAACTCCTTTAAAAGTGTATTAATTAGATAGCTTTATCTGCCTATTTATATTCTAAGAATACACACGAGTCACTGAAACAAAACTAAGTTAAGAATTAGTTTCCTTTCCCAGAAAGGGGAGGAGTTAAAGGACTGTAGTGCGTTTTGACTGACAGACATAGCTTTGCATTTGCCAAAGCAATGCTGTAGAAGAAATTACTGATGCTCAATGTCAAACCCAAAAATATTGCTAAAGACAGGAACCTCAGATAAGGCAAAACAAGTTCCTCTTATTTCAAATTAACGTTATTTCAAGGCACCAGACACAAGTGTTGACATTTTGCAGCACTACCCTCAGCTCATTATAACTGCACACACACCTGTAGTTTTTAGAACATCAGTGGGTATTTTTTTTGTTTTCAGAGTTGCTCTAAATACACTCCCTAGGAAAAAAAAAAAAAACAGGTCTAAAAGAAATAAAAAATTACAGCTCATTTTTAAAAGTTAGCAGATGTTACGTAATGGCTTTTTATCGATGGCATGAAAGAGCCCTGTGAAAGGCCACTGTACAAAGACGAGGATTTCAACAAAAAACTTAAAAGGAAAGAGCTGCTGAAAAACATCGACATAATAATGTCAGATCCAGTGGCCATCACAACACGGTGAACAGGCAGGTGCTGTCCAGAAGACAAAACTTGTATTTATGGCATAAAGTATCCAGAGCACAGGGAACAGCGGGGGGAAAAAAAAAAAAAATTAAACCCCATTTGATGGCAGTCTAATAGAATTTATAGGGTCACGAAGTCACAGCACACCTCTGCCTTTGTCACCCCCAGGGCTCGTTCCTGAACGGGTCTCAGGCTGACTCCTCTCTTTGCAGATTTGCTTCAGCGAGGTGAGAACAAAATTAGATGCTAGTGATTGCTGCCAGGACAAAAAAATAAAAGCACACATAAAAAAAAAACACAAAAACCAAACTAACAAACAAAAAACCCCAACCTTTGACTTCCTGGAAGTATTTTAAGCTGCTCCAGTTCCTGATAGTAAATTGGGCTGCTAGAGAGAAAGCGCCCGAGCACCCTGACAGCATCCAAAGCCGGTGGCCTGGGAAGACCACCAAATATCCCAGCTAATCCCAAGGGTACGGGAACTCCCGCGGTACCGATCTATTCGGTGCGGAACCGGCCGCCTTAGCGAACGCGGCGAGCGGCGCGGCGGAGCCCGAGGAGCCGGGGGCGGGCAGAGAAGGGCCCCCCCGCCCCGTCC